TTCTATATGAATTATTCTAGCTGCTTTGAATGTTAACAAAGACGATCCACTGTTACAAGTCTACAGTTCAACGCAAGAGAAACTAGATGCTGTTACTGCAGAACTGCAGAAAGAGAAAAATAGGGTGAATACTGACTAATATTTTTAATGTACCTTCAACTTTCTCTTTTTTTAGTCGAAAGCGCTTGAATCCGAGGTCGAAGATTTGCAAGGCGAATTCGAACTAGATCGACTAGATTACCTAGAGACTATCCGCAAACAAGACCAGCAACTAAAACTTCTATCTCAAATACTGGAAAAAGTTCAACCTGTTATAAGAAAGGCACTGTTGTATTTAGTTTTCGATTAGCTGATTCTTGACTTTTATCTTAGGACTCGAATTATTACAACATTGAACGGGTAAAGAAAGATGCCATTTGGAATGAAGACGAGTGCAGATGGGTGTTGCCAGAAATGAGCGTTTCGAGGACTGTACTGCCGAATGCACATAACGGTATTTTTTTGGTTCTGCAAATCAGAGTTAACGATTGCATTTTTTAGGCATCTCTACAAATAATAGGAATGAGCCACTTTTGCGTGATATGTACGACGAAGACAGTTCCAAACTCAGATTAGTAGGTTTCCGTGTACTATGTTGTATTTAATAAATCTAACGACATTCAGTTTAAAAAAACCTTGAAAAACTTTGTGAGGAAAATTCACCTGAATACTGTCGAAATATTGTATAGTAGCCATATTGAACACATGTTGCAGAGTTCGTTGATTTGAAGGTAGAATAGCCTTCGAAATGATACAGTCTATACTTTCCAAGATCTTTGTAATATATTTAGTAGGTGACCAGGCTTCCTGAGATTTCTTTATACCTTTCTAGAAAAATTCTGACCTGCCAAAATTACTCATTTGTCAAAATTTGTGAGATCAAGTTGTCATTGAATATTTAGACCTTTACCCCTGTTCGCTACCGGTGTCATCTGCTCACCGAATTTCTAAATTTTTGATGTCGCAAGTAAATTCAATCTACTTTTACAAAAATCTTTATTCATGCGGGTGCATGTCACAAGTGAAGCTAATGCTCCAATTATTAGGTTGGTAAGAAAGTTCTCGGACATTTTCA